GTATGCAGCTTAATATATTTTATTATACCATATGTAGCTTAATATATTTTATTATACCGTATGCAGCTTAATATATTTTATTATACCCACATATGGTATAATAAAATATATTAAGCTGCATACGGTATAATAAAATATATTAAGCTACATATGGTATAATAAAATATATTAAGCTGCATACGGTATAATAAAGTATATTAAGCTACATATGGTATAATAAAAGATATTAAGCTGCATATGGTATAATAAAATATATTAAGCTGCGTATGGTATAATAAAATATATTGAGCTGCATACAGCTTAATATACTTTATTATACCGTATGCAGCTTAATATATTTTATTATACCATATGTAGCTTAATATATTTTATTATACCGTATGCAGCGATACGTGTAAGAATTATAAATTTGTATGATTTAAAACTACATTTTTAAAGACGTTATTTCAGAATCTACTTTAATAAATATTTATAAATGAATATGTGTGTATAGTACGTAATATAATATTTTCATTCATATAAAATTATATATTTTTTTTGATCGTATATACACTACCAAACAACAAACAAACAAAAATCCCAATGTTTAAATATCATTGGTTTTGAATTAACCGGCCGTGTAACTATTAGAACACGGTATTTAGGTCAGTTAACGTTATAGATCAAATGTGTAGAAACGAAATCTAAATACAAGATTTGATGAATATTAAAAGTGTGTAACAACTGCATGATCAATTTGTAAAGCTAAATCATCATTTTTAGAGGTCATACTAATTTCCTGCTTAAATTAATGGTCATTAGAGCTCTTATTAAAATCCTTAAGAATTGTTGTCTTAGTCTCTTAATGACCGTAAATTTTAATTAAGTTTTAATTCTCTTCTGATAACAAACAGTAACGTTAGTTTATACAATTGTTTGGATTTAAGTTATGTTTCAAACAATTGTGTACGAATCACTGTGATTACTAAAACAAGTAAATATTAGTTTCTTTGGTAGTGATGGGAACAACGGTTCTTCAGCCAATACTAATTACACAAGAGATTGTCTCTGAGTCTGTAATTACATATTAGTTAAATTAAACTACATATTCTATGTTTTACGACAGACCAAATTTCTAGGGTTATACCATTCAGCATATATCATTAATATATATATAGATAGATAGATACTTAAGCTTATTTACTGAACTCAAAGTAACTGTTCATTTGTTGGACTGTGTTTAATTTATATTCATCAATTCATCCAAAATAAAATCTAACGTAAGTTCAAACAAAAATCTACACAAACAACCTGCGCTGCACTATATACATATATATTAAATTTGTTTCGTAAAAATGTCGATACGAAACGTTTTCAAAGAAATTAACGTGGTTACAACCTGCGTTAATTCAGTAATATTTTTAGTTAAACTTTTATGTAACAGTTTAAATTAAGTTATTTATTAAATTAATTTCATTTTCTCCAACTGACGTTAATTTGTGATTTTTAAATACTAGGAAGGTTAACCAGGTGGATGGAGAATGTTCTAGGTACATGTAATAACTGATATTAATATCTTATTACAATTAACATGTTTTTACATGAACTACGGGTTTTATATTTTACATTGTTTATTATGATATTAATATCTTACTACAATTATCATATCGTTACACGAACTACCGGTTTTATATTTTACATTGTGGATTATGCTATTAATATCTTACTACAATTATCATATCTTTACATAAACTACGGTTTTATATTTTACATTGTTGATTATGATATTAATATCTTACTACAATCATCATATCGTTACATGAACTGCCAGTTTTATATTTTACATTGTTGATTATGATATTAATATCTTACTACAATCATCATATCGTTACATGAACTAACGGTTTTATATCTTACATTGTGGATTATGCTATTAATATCTTACTACAATTATCATATCTTTACATGAACTACGGTTGTATATTTTACATTGCTGATTATGCTATTAATATCTTACTACAATCATCATAGCTTTACTTGAACTGTCGGTTTTATATTTTACATTGTTGATTATGCTATTAATATCTTACTACAGTCATCATAGCTTTACTTGAATTGATAAAATATAAAACCGGCATTGTTTATTATGATATTAATATCTTACTACAGTCATCATAGCTTTACTTGAACTGACGGTTTTATATTGTCGACTATGAAGCTTTAGAGAACAAAGAATCACGTACATCAAGAAAATTGAAAGAGTGAGAACAAATTAATTTTATATAATCTTCTTTCTCTGTCTTTCTTCTTCTTCATAACTCATTTCGTTTCTTCTGCTGAGCTGGTTAGACTCTATAAAATAATTCATATTATTAGTGACATCTACAAGCTAGCTCTTCCTTTCATTCATTTAAATAAAGCGTTTCACCACCACAGTTCCTCCCAGAGAACCACTTATCGTGGATGAAAACGGACAGCAACTAAAGGGTTTGGTTGGACCGTTCAACGAAGGACAGTCATTGACGTTGACGTGCAGCGTCACTGGAGGTGAGTTGATTTCGATTGGATGACTGTAGTAAAAAAAAAAGCGAGTCTCATGCTTTGTACTCGAAGAAAGTATATTTACTTTCTTCTTATCGAAGCAAGCCATGTCTCTCTACAGGATTCAATCAGTCTTCCAGTGTGTGTGTGTAGTAGAATTCACAAATTTTCAATTGTCAGTTATAAGAAAAGTTACAATAGTTTTATCCACTAGCCTTTATCTTCAATCACCAATAAATGTCTTCTGCTTCTTTGAATTGAGCTCTTCCTTTTTAATATACAACCTTATCGTTAGGTGTTTAGTTACTGCAAGCATTATACGCTATTTTTAATTAATAGGTAATCATATAATTAGAAGGCTACATTATGTGATCTTTCAACATGTGAAATGCTCTTTCAAGAATGTAAATAGTGCTTTTCACTTATTAATAGGTAAGCATATAATTAGAAGGCTACATTATATGATCTTTCAACATGTGAAATACTCTTTCAAGAATGTAAATGGTTCTTTTCACTTCTATTGTTAAAACTCCTGAAATGGAGTTAGCTATCCGTATCTCTGTACAGAATACAAACTGTCTTTCAAGGCTACATTATTATAACATTGTCCATTGAAAAGAACAAGTAGTGTAATCTTCAAAACGTTACTTCAAAACTTCACCACTAAACTTTACCTCAAAACTTTACTTTAAAACTTCACCTCTAAACTTTACTTCAAAACTTCACCTCTAAACTTTACTTCAAAACTTCACCTCTAAACTTTACTTCAGAACTTCACCACTAAACTTTACTTCAAAACTTTACCTCAAAACTTTACTTTAAAACTTAACTTCTGTCTGATACAACATCACGAAAGACACTCACAGCTAAACTAGTACCGGTACTAATCACAACAAGTGCGACGTTTTTGCAATTTTAGCTTTTATTTAACTTAACACCACATCTAGACTTAATTTAACTAAGGGCATTTACAACAGATTACATTCTGAACAACGAGAGAAATTAAATATTTTTTTATTTGTTTTAGCACACATATTTAAATTCGAGAACCAGATGTTCGAGCAGCCAATATTCAACTCGTGGGTACCTGGGCCAAAAGTGATTTAGTTATACTTTGTCTTTCTAGTATTGTTTTATGACTCCACAGAGAGACATATTGTTTTTCTATTGTTTCTTCTTCTTCCAAACACGTTTTTTTTTTGTTTTAAAATTGGATTTCATTCACCACTGTATTCAAACATTGTCATCGACTGGGTGCAGTCTGTGAAAAGCCACTTCTAAAGCTGACAAAACAAATTTTCAATTTGCTCATAAAATGACTAAGAACAAAATGTACTGACCTACATGTATATATTGGTAGAGGTGAAAAAATATATATGTATTATTCCTCTGGAACATCTATTCTTTGTTTGTAGTAATTATTATCCACACAATCTTTCAAACAAATTTTTGCGTCACGAAATGTGTTAGTCAGACATTATAAAATAATTTATGTATCTATTGTACATTGTAGTTGTAATTTTCACTTTATTATTTAGTGAACAATTAATTCTAAAAACAGTTATCATAATCATGACTTAGTAACCTCTTTACATAAATATATAATTAACGTTACAGAAACTACTTTTATTCAAACGTGCTACTCGCTTAACAATGATAATTCTTTTATCTAAATGAATATTTCTCTTCAGACGACCACCATCTAAATAAATAAGTCAATCTAAAACACTTGGCTAATTTATATTACTACTAATGAATAGTTTTGACGTAATTAAATAGGTGCATCGAACCGATATCCACTCAGAAGACTTGGTTTTATTCCTCACCAACCAATTCTCTATTATTAATTAATTGTTTTCTAAGGTTAAGGACCGAGTGTGACCTATAGTTAAGCGTACTTACCTATGAATTGGAGAGTTTGTGGTTCGTGTCTCGTTACCACAAAACTCACCGAGCACTTTGAGACCGTGCGTACATTATAACAATAAGGGTCAAGCCACACAATTCCATTGTAGTAGTCCAAGAGTTGAAGTTTAGTGCTAGCTGCCTTCTCTCTCGACAATCATTTCAAAAGTAGAGTCTAACGCGTTTGGTCCTCGAGTATTTTTGGCAAATGTCACAAACAAATAATATAAAGATAGATTGACAGTCTCGTTCAAGAAGGTTAGAAGAACCTGGGATTAGCATTAGTAATCCTGCGACCTAATAACTAACGGAACAAAATATTACTTTGAGAAAAATGACTATAACTTAAATTCAGAAGAAAAGATTATTTGTGATTGGTCAACTGATAGCACGTTATTTTTGAAATGCATACCCGAGTTAAAATAATATTAACTTCAAAGCTTGTTTGTTTGTTTTGAATTTCGCGCAAAGCTACACGAGGGATATGTGCGCTAACCGTCCCTAATTTAGCAGTGTAAGACTAGAGGGAAGGCAGCTATTCAGCACCAACCACCGCCAACTCTTGGGCTACTCTTTTACCAACGAATAGTGAGATTGACCGTCACATTATTACGCCCCCACGGCTGAAAGGGCGAGCATGTTTGGTAAGACGGGGATTCGAACTCGCGACTCTCAGATTGCGAGTTGAGTGCCCTAACCACCTGGACATGTCAGGCCTGGCTTGAAAGCACAAGTATGAATAAAAAAAAAAACGTAATAAATACTGCTCTCCAAAACAAATCATAACGACAGCAAGCTCAAAACATTTTTTTATTCTTTAGTTAAAGAACGATTTATTTATTATTCTTCTACTTTTTATTTACCATAAGTTCTTTGTAAACTTTAAGAATAAGAACTTTCAGCATTGCTTTTGCAACTTAGTTTGTTTTTCGACTTAGTTTTGCCTCAAAAACTAAGAAATGAAGAGAAAGCATGAAATATTCATTACAAGTTGGATGAGGTTCAACCATGATTTGGGGTATTTATGTGAGGAACATTAATCTTAGATACTTTAAAGTGAGTCTGACAAAAGAATAGACCTTTTGTATATAAATCCTTGTTTAAAAGTATTACATTCATATATGATATTTTCATCCCATACAGTGTTGGTATGGTTCTTTACCTAACACCGACAAGTCTTCCAGAATGGTTTGCTTTAACCATTCGTAGAGACCTGATTATTTATAATAAATACAAAACCTATGAAAGGCAGGAAATATCTACACATCGTTCGAGGTTTAGGACACTAGCTAAACTGTTTAGAAAGAAATTTGCAAGGAAATGTAACGAAAGAAAGTTATCGTTTTCTCTACAGCTTTGAAGAATAAACGATCCAGAGGGAAACTGTTTCTGCACTGAGTGATGTTTCGTGACTTCATACGAAACATCTCATCCCATAGAAATGCATCACGATACGTTTTGTTTAAAACTGTATAAGTAACATATTTTTTTATTGAGTTTATGTATATCCCTTCTTATTTTTTAAATAAGTAACAGATAGCAAATATATAAAGATTTGAGAAATATAGTTTGTATTAATACGAAAAACATTCACAAAGGTTAAGAACCGAGTTTCTGGTTGGAATGCACGAAATAAAAAATTGTAGGTGGTCAGACACATGCCGTATTTATAATATATATATATATACTATAAACAAAATCGAATATATCTAATATTAACATACATTTTTATTCGTCACTACCCACGATCATCATATAATGCGTGCATTCCAAAAATCTTCAGAATAGAACCACTTCTTTAACTTTTAACAGCTTTTAACTTGAAAAGTATTTTTAAGTTCTTTTTCAAAATTAGTTTATTTCTTTATAAACTAAAACTTTTCAAAGCGTGTGTTGTCTTATAGCAAAGCCACATCAGGCTATCTGCTGTGTCCACTGGGGGGAATCGAACCTCTGATTTTGGCGTTGTACATCCTGAGACTTATCGCTGTCTCACCGGGGTACCCTCTTCAAAGTAATGGAATTTCTGGATTGAAATATTCTCATTTTCCTTTTTCTTCGACCAATTTTCGATAACTATTATGTCAAACTAACAGAAGCCCACACAAAATTTGCTGTGAAATTAGTATCTTTATTGTATCAGAAGTTTTGTAATGTGCGCGCGCATTTTCAGGGCAGACAGAAACTGAGTATTATTATAATAGATACAAGTAAAGAAATACTTTTCAAAAAAAGGACGTAAATGTAAGGATGGCAAAAACAATGCAAATAAGATGGTAGGGATGGCACTTGCATCATCCCTACATAATAGTGTAGGCACACAGTGGAGTAGAACGTTAACAGACAAAAATAGGATAATTTAAACTCAGTTGTGATTGAATACTTATATATATTGCTACATGGTAATTCTTACCTGTGTTAATATGTAGAGATGACGCAAGTGCCATCCCTACTATCTTGTTTACATTGTTTTTGAAAGATTGATATTAGCCATCCTTACATTTACTTCCTTTTTGGAAAGTTTTTCTTTACTTGTTTGCTTGTTTTTTTTAATTAAATGTTTCAATAGACATAGGAAGGTTGTGTTTATAACCAAGTTCTAAATACAATGAGGTTCCAACTGTAATATTTATTGTTTATCTATTATTTGGCTGATAATTCCTGTTTCACCCTGTATTTAAGCTTTTTAAAGGAACAGTAAATATCTGTACAAAAGCTAACTTCAAAGGGTAATGATAACATCGTTTACACTATAATTGTGATTTTTTAAATTACTCCTAGTTATTAGTAATACTAATAAAATCATAGACCTTGTTTGAAACCATGTCACCTCAGTGAAATTGGTTGACTCCATTATTTTGGTTTTGAGTTATTTTGTAATAAAAAAGAAGCAGAACAAGAAATTCAAACTTTTTGATATGATATTTAGAGACATTCCCAGAACTTGTGACTCACTCATTACATAGATATTGTTATAACAGGAAACACTGTATAGTATTGTAAAGTTCTGATGACCCATTGAGGTAATATTTAAAATACCATTCTGATGATCGATCCCAGCCATCCCTACCAGTGCTGCCACCTGCCTGATAATATGTAAAATTTGAGGCGGAAGTTGAATGGTGTGGGTAAATAACTGTTTAATGACAGCTTAAATTTAATCGCTCATAAAAATATTTAAAACTTGTTTATTATCGGATATATATATATATATATAGTACAATATTTAATGTTCCAACAGCAAAAACTGGTATTAATAGGTACAACAACTACAAAGTTTGTTTTGTTTTTAAATTTCGCGCAAAGCTACATGAAGGCTATCTGCGCTAGCCGTTTCTAATTTAGCAGTGATTGACTAGAGGGAAGGCAACTAGTGAACACCACCCACCGCCATCTCTTGAGCTACATTCTTACCAACGAATTATATAACGCTCCCACGATTGAAAGGGCGAGCATGTTCGATGATTGAGATTCGAACTTGCGACCCTCAAATTGCGAATCGAGTGATTTAACCACCAGGCCACAAGTAAAAGGAGTGAGTTGCGTTATTGTATTCACAAAGTTGCTGCAAATAAACGCAATGGTTATTTTGAACTGATATATAGACTATAGAGAAGGTAGGTAGCCAATAGCGTCAACCGCCAACTTTTGGGAATCTCTGATCTAACCCAATATTGGGAATTGACGGTATCTTTCTAAATGCATCGAGGGTCCCAAAGTGCGGAGTGCGTTTCTGTGACAATGGGACATGAACAATTATTCTCCAGCTTCACAGTTTGAAAATCTAACCACTGGATCACGACCGGCTTCTCTTGTTAAAGAGATAATATGCACACAATATACGCCTGTGAATAATATATATGTAATAACTATATATGCAACGAACATCAATTCTGTCCTTTTTAACTTGTCTATCCATTTCAAGCGTTAATGTTAAATCGAAAAAAACCACAGTGACTGAGTAAAGAGTGTAGCGTTAAAATATGATAGGCCTAATATTAATGCTTTGCTATAAGATTAATCATTTATAATCACTCTTTGTCAGCTGGAAAAAGGCGTTCAAGCCATAATAGTCGTTGCTCTAACAAGTTGTTTATATAAATAATGTTCCGACCACAACTGTGTTCGTTGTGTCTCAGGCGTCCTGATGAGTTCTGTATTGATCAAAACGCGTCGCCAGTAATGGATATAGCAGATATTATGTCGTAGAAATACTTATTATACACTCTTCTTCTTCTTGTAAAACACCAAAGAACTGAATAAAAACGCAGTGTTGAAAATGTAATAGGCTTAATACGAATATTTCATGATAAGAATAATTAATTAAAATCTTGTTTTGCCAGCTTAGAAAAGTCGTTCACAACATAACAACTGCTTTGCTTGTAATAGTATGATAAGAAACATAATACTTCGCTGCTTCAAATCTCTTCTTAATCTTCCCTTATATTATATAGGGATTTTCAGAACATTGAAAAACACATTACAATATACCAGGTACACATATATATTTGTTATTTTTACAGGAAAACCTCGTCCTTCTTTAACCTGGTGGCGAGATTACACCCTTTTAGATGACAACTATACTTTCTGTTCGGATGAGATAGTAGAAAACAGGATCTTCATTCCAGAGCTTGAAAGAGAGGATTTCCGGGTTGTTCTAACTTGTCAGGCATCAAACAATAACATTACAATTCCCGCCTCTACGACAGTCACCTTAAAACTCAACTGTAAGTGTATAGTTAGAGCAAGTATCCTGAAATGTAATTTTATTCCGTGACCAAACCAAGGGACACTGAGAGTAACTATGTCAATTATTTAAGTAGATGGACGTTTCTATGTAAATACCAAGGGACACTGAGAGTAACTATGTCAATTATTTAAGTAGATGGACGTTTCTTTGCAAATACGTGCCTTGAATTTCCTTCTTATGGGAGCTGAACGAATCTGTTTTTTTTTTAAACTTCAAAATATAAATACGTAAAGCTTAAATTTCATATATCACATATAATATTTTATTATGATGATGGAAGGAGAATAAATCATTTGTAAAAACGTTCTATACACAGGTTACAATCAGTATTAAAATTGGATATTGGGATAAATTATGAAATTAGAAAGGTTTATTGAGAAATAAATTATTCATCATTCTAACTAAATTATTTATTTTATTACTTTTCCTTCGAATACTCAACATATCTATGTGAAATAAAACATCATGGAGTGTACTGTTGACCAGCTCTGTTACTTATGTATAAACTTCTGGTGTATATTGTTGACCAGCTCTGTTACTTATGTATACTTTTCTGATATATATTGTTGACCAGCTCTGTTATTTATGTATAAACCTCTGGTACATATTGTTGACCAGTTCTATTATTTATTTATAAACTTCTGGTGTATATTGTTGACCAGCTCTGTTATTTATGTATAAACCTCTGGTACATATTGTTGACCAGTTCTATTATTTATTTATAAACTTCTGGTGTATATTGTTGACCAGCTCTGATTTTTATGTATAAACTTCTGGTGTATATTGATGACCAGCTCTGTTATTTGTGCACAAACTTCTGAATGTTTACAAAAGTAACACTAATTAACAAACGTTAAAACGTAGTTACAGTTTGTACATTATGCTACAGAACAGATAGGTCAGCATCACAATTAAAAAATAGGGACAAAGATTTATTGAATTTAGTCACTTTAAAAAAATATTTGGCAATGAACGCAAAATATATTTGTTTGTTTTTGAATTTCACGCAAAGCTACACGAGGTCAATCTACGCTAGCCGTCCCTAATTTATCAGTGAAAGGCAACTAATTATTACCACCCACCGCCAACTCATAGACTACTCTTTTACCGTCACATTATACCGCCACCACGGTTGAAAGGGCGAGCATGTTTGGTTGGACGAGGACTTGAACCCGCGACTCTCAGATTGCGAGCCAAGCGCCCTAACCAATTACTTTATGTGTCAAATAAAAACAAACATGCTTGAATTTGTCATTTACTTAACGTTAACTTGAAAATATCCAATCACATCTTTTGCATTACCCAATTAATTTATTCACAAGGATCAGCAGTACAAGTTCATATTTTTAGCAAATCTAACAAGTATTGTTTTTTCAATAGTTATCATAATTTCACGAACATATTTTGACTAAAATGATTTTAGTAGTAGCTTAAAAGAAAAACCTTAAATTAAATGAAGATAAATTATAATGCCCTAGATCAAACAAAACGTCTTTACGTTTTCGACAAAAACTAGAAAAGTCATATAAAAATACTTTCGTTTCGATCGACCCGAGTATGTTTCGAGGGTCTACTTACATTCTGACACGTAGCACAAGTTTATGGCACACGACACTGATCAATAATACAATATGTTCCAAAACTAGACGAGACGTCATTACGAAGCAGACGAGAGAAGATATTCTGCCTTTTTAGACACGTTTATGAGACTTCCTTTGTGAGCAAGGCCCCTTGCTCCTTTTCAAGTAGACACCAGAGAACGTATAGAAAACACTGCAACACCACTTCGTGTCTGAAATAGCAAAAACACTTCTACAACATGTCTGTCGTTTAAACTTTCTGCCAACTCCATATAACTCCAGGCCATGGAATTGTGTGGACATCTAAAACAGATCTTGTGTAATCATAAGCTATCGACTACTGAAGAGTAATATGGTTTCTCTGTTTTTATAAAAATGATTAATACGTTGAACGTTTACCAGAAGTGCCATTTGTATACATCAGAAGTCGTACTTAACTATGTAGGCCCGGCATGGCGAGGTGGTTCGAATCCCCGTCCCACCAAACATGCTCGCCCTTTCAACTGTGGAAGCGTTATTACGTGTCGGCCAATCCCACTATTCGTTGGTAAAGAGCATCCCAAGAGTTGGCGGTGGGTGGTGTTGACTAGCTGTCTTCCCTCTAGTCTTTCACTGTTAACTTAGGGATGGCTAGCGCAGATAGCCCTCGTGTAGCTTTCCGCGAAATTAAAAACAAACCGAACTTAACCATGTAATCTACTGGTAATATATATATATGGTGATAGAGAGAAAACGACAGTTCTTTCGAGAAAAATCTCGAATCGCGACCTTGTTTATAATCACCAGTATCACATCTTTGATAGACAGTGGATATGTAGTGGAACATTTACTATTTAATCTATATTACAATATAAAATTTTAATCATATATGCATGAATGTATTTTTACATAAATATAAGAAACCCTATAACCCGAACGTTTTGGAAAGGTTGACCCTGAAGAAGAAAGGTTCACCTTTCGAAAGCGCTCCGATTATAGTGTATCGTATCTTTGTAGTTAATTGATTTCTTCTTTCGTGTTTTCCTAACATCATGAATGTATTTTTTACAAGATATAATAATTAACATGGGTGCAAGCGCCATCTACACACAAGATAGTTAATTAGAAGTAAAACCCGTGAAATTTTGTTTATTATTTGCAACATGTTATCTATCTGTCTAACTATCTGTATGTGTTTATTTGTTCGACTGTTTTCGTTGTGTGTTTTCTCATTTTTAAATATCATTGCACCTCCAGTAAAACCAAGTTCAGTAGAAATTACATCCTCCCAGCGCCCCATGTCTGCCAATCGAGAAGTTAAATTGACCTGTGTCGCCCGCGGTTCAAGGCCTCCTGCAACACTCACGTGGTGGAAAGGATCAGAAAAGGTGGACACCTCTAATGGCAGCGTTGTGACGGAAGGTGAAACAACTACAAGCACTTTTACGTTTTTGCCAACAGTTGAAGATAATGGGAAATACTTAGCTTGTAGAGCAGAAAATACAAAAATTCCCGGAAGTGGCATAGAGGACAGCTTCAACATGGAAGTTCGTTGTAAGTTTGTGAGATAATAAGCTCCATTAAATTATTAAACGTAATATTGGAGTTAATTATGATATACTTAAACATACTATATTTAGAACTAACATTAGATGACGAACAAACTTTGAAACAAATCAGAGAGTGAACAAAGGGTTAATGTTGAAAAACTAGATAATCTTATTTCTTTATTCAGAATGAATTAGATGACGAACAAACTTAAAAACAAATCAGAGAGTAACAAAGGTTAATATTGAAAACTAAATAATTTTATTTCTTTATTCAGAATGAATTAGATTACGAAGAAACTTTGAAACAAATTAGAGAGTGAACAAATGGTTTATATTGAAAAACTAGATAATTTTATTTCTTTATTCAGAATGAATTAGATTACGAACAAACTTTAAAACAAATCAGAGAGTGAACAAAGGGTTAATATTGAAAAACTAGATAATTTTATTTCTTTATTCAGAATGAATTAGATTACGAACAAACTTGGAAACAAATCAGGTAGCGAAAAAGGATTAATGTTGAAAAACTAGATAATTTTACTAATTTTTCTATTTTCACATAACTGTCTTTTCCAACAAAAGGAGTCGTATCACAGAAACACCGGTACACATTACAAATGATTTGAAAATCGAATTTTTTTATCCAGGTGATAACGTAACATACTCAAAGATAAGTAGCTACCCTAACTTGTAACGTTTCTGTATTTCAAATGTTCTCTCACACAATATTAATGATAATTATTACTAGAATTATTACCTAAACCTATTATCATTAGCATGTGACTACGTTACTGCAAGCAAAGCCGGAAATAAACGTTTGATACATAGAAACATATTATATAACGATGAGTGAGAACTCCCCTCGCCATCTAAAATGGTGTATACACTGTGTCTGTTTGTTTTCACTCTCACAAGGCCCCCATACTTTAACTTTCACACAAGATTGGGGTAAATAGAAATAATTTTCTGAACACCCTCGTTTTTCGTTTTTTTTTTTTTTTTTCTTTTACCCTGAATTCTTCCTGAGTCCATAGTCATATGATTTAAATCAAGTCTAAGGTCAACAGATCAAATCTCACGACATAATGTAATGTACCTAGTCTGGATGTATGTCGTCTTCAAACTTTGTGCAGTGTTTATATATCGGAAGTTTCCTGTTTGCTGGGAATAAGTTAGTAATTTATTGCACTTGGGTGTTTTTTTTTTTCGCCCGGGGCCTGGGCATAGCCTGGTGTTCAAGGCTCAATCTGTGGGTCGCGGGTTCGAATCCCCGTCACCGAACACGATCGCCCTTTCAGCCATGGGAGAGTTAAAATGTTATGATCAATCGCATTATTCGTTGATAAAAAGGAGAAGCCCAAGAGTTGACGGTGGGTGGTGTTGACTAGCTGCCTTTCCTCTAATCTATCACCTTTAAATTAGGGACGGTTAGCGCAGATATCCCTCGTGTAGCTTTGCGCGAATTTCAAAACAAACCAAGTCTTTCGCCCAACATTACAGACTGTGCATATCTTGAATGTATATCGAACATTATTTTGTCAGCTGCCCATTGGCGGCTATTGCTTAACAGCGTGCAATTTAATAAAAGTGAATATTCGCTACAACAGAATATTAGATATAAGTGAATATCAAGGGTTTTCTGTTCTGTAGTGTATGTTTGCTCAGCACATTTTCCATACTTCAGTCTATAGTGAAACTCTATATAAAAAGTTATCTGTCTATCAGTGCTTTTAGATATAATTCGTACTTTTCATTGAGCATGTATAAAGGGTTTACTTTCTATTCTTTAGTAAGTAGATATAAAAGATTTTCTGTCTCTCACCGTTTTGTCCCCTTAAACTTTTTACTGGTTATGTATATCTTACATATATGCTATGTATATCTTATGTTTTTCATAACCCACCATAAATACCTTGCTCAGCATTAAATAATTGTTCGTTTATCAGTAGTTTTTTTTCCCTATGCGAGGATAGTTTGCTATAATCAAATATTCTACAGTGTTTATATGCTATACAATGTCCCTCGGTGGATATGTATAACACTGTTACTTGTGTCCCTTGCTCTTTATTTTACGTTGCTTCAGGATTTGTTATCGCTAACCGTTATGTATTTTGGCATCCATTTGTCTCGTTACGCAGTATGTCAAGCGCTATCTATTTTTTAACCATATTATACGTCTAACGTAGGTAGCTCCGTAATCGTGGACTCTGAACTAATGAGAAATATACTTAGATAACAAAAAAAATGTAATTCTACTACTTGTCAAAAACAATACATTTTTGAATCTTGTATTTGTCGTATCGCGTCACAAGTAACATTAAGATAGCTGCTTGGGGAAACTGGTTATTTTCATTATGAATCGTATTAATTTTCTATTCTGTTCGCGCTTTACAAAAATTAAATGACACACGATTAAAATACGTACTTTTGAAAATGAAAATGATAGCACTAGACATGCAAATTTATAAGTTAAGATTTGTTTTCTGTTATTTCAGTAAGTGACAAGTTATTTCGATATTGTACAGCAAGACTACAACAAATATCGACATATTATTTATCATGAAACATTTGCAAAGTATGTGTTGCATGCGACGGAAACATTTGGAAGATTTGATATTCGACTGTTATCTCGGAGTGAGTTAAAATTATATATAATTTAAAGAAACGGTAACTGAATTTTTGGAAGGTAATTCTAATATTTTTAAAAGTTTCTACTTTCGTTACTAGATTCGCCGAAAGTCTCATTAAGAGTGACGTCAAACTCTAAGAACGGTCTACAGGAAGGAGATGACGCTACATTTGGGTGTGATATTAAGGCTAACCCATGGGTGTATAAGATAAAGTGGTATTTCAATGGTGTCGAACTTTTCGGAAACTCGTCATTAGGAGTTCTAATCAGCAGCCAGTCGATGGTTGTACAAAACGTCAAGAGGAGGTTCAGGGGTCTCTTTTCCTGTTCAGCTACAAACAGTGAAGGTCTGGGTACCAGTGACGAGATCTTTCTGAAGGTTAAGTGTACGTTGTTTAATCTTACAAACTATTTTTTTTTGTGTATGCTTATTTTGTATTAGAGCAGTAAGCAATAGCACTAACTTATCATAACCTATACATCTATACGTCTAAACGCAGTTTAAGTGAAATACTGAACAAACTTTCAACACTTTTGGCACTTCTTGGTATAACCTATACATCTAAACGCAGTTTAAGAGAAATACTGAACAAACTTTCAACACTTTTGGCACTTCTAGGTATAACCTATACATCTAAACGCAGTTTAAGTGAAATACTGGACAAACTTTCAACACTTTTGGCACTTCTAGGTATAACCTATACATCTATACGTCTAAAAGCAGTTTAAGTGAAATACTGGACAAACTTTCAACACTTTTGGCACTTCTAGGTATAACCTATACATCTAAACGCAGTTTAAGTGAAATACTGGACAAACTTTCAACACTTTTGGCACTTCTAGGTATAATCTATACGTCTAAACGCAGTTTAAGAGAAACACTGAACACACTTTCAACACGTTTGGCACTTCTAGGTATAACCTATACATTTAAAAGCAGTTTAATTGAAATACTGAACAAACTTTCAACACTTTGGCACTTCTAGGTATAACCTATACATCTAAAAGCAGTTTAATTGAAATACTGAACAAACTTTCAACACTTTTGGCACTTCTAGGTATAACCTATACATCTAAAAGCAGTTTAATTGAAATACTGAACAAACTTTCAACACTTTTGGCACTTCAAGATTATCATTAGTCCAACCGAACACTGGTATTGTGACTACAGATCAATCTTGATAATTATAATTTGATAACGAGAACCAGGAAAAGAGAAGTTCAGATTACGTGCATACCGTTGAACATTGTATTAAATGTGGTGTTATAACCTTCGCCAACGAAGGTGGATGGAGGTTTTGTTTTTATCCCTGTGTATGTGTTTTTTTCTTCTTGTGTGTGTGTGTTTGTTTGTGTGCTTGTCAGTAAGATTTCTCGAAAACGGTTGAACAGATTTGGACAAAAGTTGGTATACATTGGACTGTGAACCAAGCTAGAAGTGATTAGTTTTTGGAGTGTCAAGTTCACGGCAAGATCACGAAAATAAAAAAAATCCCCATCTGTTAATATGGGGACCGATTTTTCACACTATTTTTGCTCGATAACTCGGTCAAAAATTATCGAATATCATTCCTCAAACTAAATTCTGTCCTCAGGAAATGTTCAATCTCTTTTATTATCACAGTTGTATTAAAACATTTTATAGAAAAGTTAATATAAAAATCCCAAGAAGGGACAGTTAATTAGTGCACCGAACTAACTCGGTACAACTTCTGGCAGCAGACTAAGGATTGTATAAATGATAAATAAATACTGTCCCCGATATCATGTCTTGGAGGTTACAGCGCTCTACTCACAATCTGCAATTCGCGGGATCGAAACTCAGAACAGAGCAATTTCGCTTTTCAACTCTCATGACGTTATAATATGACGGTTATTACCACACGTTGTTAACAAGTAGACCAAGAATGGGCGGTGGGTGCTTCCAGCCGCTTTCGTCGGCAGCTCTTAATTAGAGACACGGCACTTGTAAACGTCATAATTTCTTGGCAAGGTGCCAAATAAGTTTAAGCTGGAGTAGTTCAATCGTGATTATAAAAATAAGTGTTAAAGTGTCTGTATTCTGTTGAATGTGATCGTTAGATGTCACATTTAGTACGATAATTCTAAGTCATTTATCATTATTATAATATATCTCCACAAACGGAAGAACGTTCTTTAAATATACTATTATTCAACGTACTGTTTAGTTTCGTACAAACTGGTCAACTAGAAATATTAAACAAGGGTCATGTAAAGTGGACAACTGAGAGCAGATTTTAACTTCGGGTCAGAGCGTGCTAGAGACCGCAACGTCAGTTTTAAGAGATCTGCGTGACAGACTGGGTTTGAATTATTTCATTCTTTGCTTGTATTTTACTGAAGAATCTTGAGACTTACTTGATCTAGAAATCAGAATAAGTCATAATATTCTCTAGATTTTGACAAATGAAGACTGAGTTAACGTAACGTTTTCAAGTGTAAAGAGGATGGAATGTATGGCTAACACAGGTTAACGTAACGTTTTCAAGTGTAAAGAGGATGGAATGTATGGCTAACACAGGTTAACGTAACGTTTTCAAGTGTAAAGAGGATGGAATGTATGGCTAACACAGGTTAACGCAACGTTTTCAAGTGTAAAGAGGATGGAATGTATGGCTAACACAAGTTAACGTAACGTTTTCAAGTGTAAAGAGGATGGAATGTATGGCTAACACAGGTTAACGTAACGTTTTCAAGTGTAAAGAGGATGGAATGTATGGCTAACACATGTTAACGTAAGGTTTTCAAGTGTAAAGAGGATGGAATATATGGCTAACACAGGTTAACGTAACGTTTTCAAGTGTAAAGAGGGATGGAATGTATGGCTAACACAGGTTAACGTAACGTTTTCAAGTGTAAAGAGGATATAATGTATGGCTAACACATATACGGATTTGTAATATATACACATACATTCTATCACATCTAAACTTGAACAAGCTGAGTTAACTCAGTAAAACGTTGTGTTCCTATATTTATCAAAATATTGGGTTATTTTTTGATTCTGCACGAGTCACAACAATTTATGATAAACTAATTTTTTGCTACTGGATATTAGACACTTTCGTTGTTAGTTTGGTGGTTGTAGTTTTTAAATAGTAACCATTTGTTTTTCTCCAGATTCTCCAGTATGCCAACCAGGCCAAAAGTTAAATTATGGAGCCATACATTTAGAAACTATTCAAGTTCAATGTAAGTTGGATTCGGATCCAAACGATATCACATTTTACTGGCGATTCAACAGTTCTACAAAAGTTACAGATAATATCCCCCACTCGGTTTCTGGGAACAAGTATGAAAGCACAGCATCTTACACTATAGAGACAGACGAAGACTATGGAACTCTGTTGTGCTGGGGGGAAAACAAAATAGGAATTCAGAAAGATCCCTGCATCTTTAAAGTAATGCATGCAGGTAAGATTGCGTTTTTTCTTCTTCTCTAGGCTTGATTTTATTAAAGTGTAATATATGTCGTTTTTGATATACTCTAAACCAAACATACTTAACTGAATTACATTCCTTTGTTACGTCACTTCCTGTTATTCCTTTGTTACGTCACTTCCTGGTTTGGAATGAAGAAAAATGTCGTAGAAAAGAGTGTAAATGCCATAAGTTTTGGATGAATTGCTGTTGTACTAATGCTAATCTACACATTAGGCTACCTGTGCTCTGTTCACCTCAGATTGTAAGTCTGTAAGCTTACCACTGACTCACAGAAGACATCTGGATGACATGCGGAACAAACTTTATAGCGAGTATATTCTTTCCATTCCAAATATTCACTTAAGATTTGTAAGTTTTGTTTTTGGAGAGAGAAAAAGCTACTAACCACAGTTTGTAGCATCGCCGGTTGTTTCTCAATAATTCAGGACAGAGACAACTCACGGAAACAAGTGTGGAACATTTTCTAATCTCTCCCAGACTAACTAATGGATATTTAAAAGTGTGGAATATATCTTTCTTATGTATTCTAAAACATATGCATTTGACGTAGTTACGAAATGACGTCCTCCTCTTCTTTATGAAGGTTAAAAATGTCATAATGTCGTAATTTCTGTATAAAATATTTTTTTAAATGTATCGCACGTAGGCTTATAATATTCAAAATACGTACTTACAATTTTAATATAGTTTTTAATTCTATAAGATGAATAATTAATAAATACAATATGGAGCAACTACGATAGTCTAAGATATACTCTTCAGTGTTTCGCGTGAGAAACATCTCAGATTTAGGGAAACAAGAGTGAACTGTTACAATCTCTCCCAGAACCACCAGATCCAGTAGAAAACTGCTCGGTGTTTAACCGTACAACACAACAGATTCTCATAAAGTGCCTTGAAGGATTTGACGGAGGGTTGGATCAAACATTCCTGGTTGAAGTCTACAAGAAAGAAAGTAGAGCTCTCCATTCTAAAGTTTCTTCACCTGTGCCAGTATTTCCCCTGAATAATCTTACTCCAGGATCGTTTTACACGCTCTTAGTTTATGCGGTAAATCGCAGAGGACGGAGCTCCGCTGTTACTCTTACTACGAGCACCATAAGACTGGCTGAAAAATTGACAGGTAAGAAGTGTGTTTTGTTTGTTTGTTCTTGGGTATCGAACCCCAATTGTTAGCGGCATAAACCTTCAGACTTACTGCTGAGACACTTGGAGGCGTTTTCTGATTGTCTGTTTTGGAATATACTGTTTAGATGTCTACCTCGAAATTCACGAAGCCTGCAATATGCAAGATATTGCCCCGAGAAATAATTCCACGCAAATAGAGATATCATTATCAGCCATTATGGATTGCAAACACTTGTTTTACTTCGTTAAGAAAATGTTACTTTTCTTGTTACAGGTTCACACTTCTGTGTTTTGAAGCTCTAACAGTGTATTTCGAATATTCCGATTAATTGTAACAAAGTTGATTAAAAGAAGTGAACACTGGTTTAATTTAAACTCAGTCATTTTTATCATTCTGAATATTATTATTTTCAGTAAATAAAAATAACACAATACCTTTTTCTACATCAGTTCCATGGATCATTTCTCATAACTTTTGGGATTGTTTTTGCTTTCATTGTGATACCAGTCTCACTGTCCTTAAGAAAAATTGTACCATCTATCATTGACGTATTACCTTCGTAACGTAAACATTTAACAACAAATGTAATTATTATTTATATACAACAGCATAAGTCACGTAACATAATGAAAGTGTACGAGTATGTCTTATTAAGCACGATCAGTAGGTTTTATAATGTAACTTAGCATCAGAATAGATGACAACTCACGTGAGTTTGTCAAGCAAAATGCGTACAATCCAGAGATTCAGTCCCGTTAATAGAACATTCTATTGTCTAATGTTTCATAAATAGCACGTGTAAACTAAATATTATAGATTAATTTACGTAATTTCACCAAAAGGGGGACGAAGACCGCCTGGAATGATCACCTGTTTTAATCACTTGCACCATTATGAGGTAGTGTGTTGTCTGTCAGTTCAGTTGACACTAAAATGACGTCACGTAAGGGACACTTAACGTTGCGGTTTGTACTGTCGTGATGTCGGTAAAACGTGCGTATGCAATGAATCACGAGAATAATTATGCACTCTGTAGGCTACAACATAGTATGACATATGAAATAAAAATATGTTACTCTTAATTTTGATTTTATTTACTCTTGAAACAGAACACTTTCGGGGACCCAGCGAAAGTACATATGGTATATTTATTTTATGTTGACATAAGTATGCAAACGTATTATATTCGTATAAGCCATATACTTTTAAATATAAGGTTCGCTTAAATTTAACGAACGACGTAATTTACTAGAGACTTTGAGTTAATATTGTATTCAAATATACACACTCAAACATATACATATATAAACCATACTTAGTTAGTGATCCTAGAATTACAGGAGAGATAAATCTAGCTCTGGGCGCGTTATTATTATTATTTTATTTCATTTAAAGGTAACTCAATAAATATTTGGTCATATAATTACTAGTAAGTGCTAAACAATTTTCATTGATAAAATTAACACCACTTGTCACAGAATAATATTGGAAAATAGCTACACTGTTTATAAACCAGAGAAGTGTCTATGGGAAGTGGTTGTACTGTTTAGTTATCAGGCAAATGTCTATGGGAAATGGTTGTAATGATAAGTTATCAGGCAAGTGTCTATGGGAAGTTGTTGTACTATCTAGTTATCAGGCAAGTGTCTATGGGAAATTGTTGTAATGATTAGTTATCAGGCAAGTGTCTATGGCAAATTGTTGTACAGTTTAGTTAATAGGCAAGTGTCTATGGGAAATGGTTGTACTGTTTAGTTATCAGGCAAATGCCTATGGGAAATGGTTGTAATGATTAATTATCAGGTAAGTGTCTATGGGAAATTGTTGTACAGTTTAGTTAATAGGCAAGTGTCTATGGAAAATTGTTGTAATGATTAGTTATCAGTCAAGTGTCTATGGGAAATTGTTTTATTGTTTAGTTATCAGGCAAGTGTCTATGGGAAATTGTTTTACTGTTTAGTTATCAGGCAAGTGTCTGTTGAAATAGTTTAAATTTTCAGCTGCCAAACGAGCGTATGTCGCGAGTAAATATTTTTTCAGTTAGCAGGTATCGTGTAATTACTAGTCTATTATAAATTATTATATTGTTCAATATTAACGGTAAGAAGAGAGAGAAAATTACATTTGTAGAGAATTCCCTCTGTATAAACTTTCAGAAGAACGCTTTAAAGAAGTGAGCACATTTTATAAGGGGCCTAATTCGTGTAATGCAATGCAAACATAGATCGTGTGAAACTGGCAGCTTAACAAATCTCCTTCATAAAAAAATGATAATGGAATACCTTATCACTTTATCAGCATTAACTAACAAGGATAGAATTTCCTCTTGCTAAAGCAATGTCTAGTTCCACGTTTGTACCATGCTGAGTTTTTTGTTTGTCAAAAAGTTGTTAGTTTCTTTAATCAATAAATTTGTTGCCTCATTTGATGTTCAGGATTCATATGAACCTACTGTGATATTATAAGATAATATTCTCATTTTCCAAGAGTTTATGTAGGATTCGTTTATGTAGGAGTCGCTTGAACCTAGTGTGATATTATAAGATAATGTTCTCATAATGTTCTTATGTAGGATTCACTTGAACCTAGTGTGGTATTATAAGATAATATTCTCATTTTCCAAGAATTTATGTAGGATTCACTTGAACCTAGTGTGATATTATAAAATAGTATTCTGATTTTCCAAGAGTTTATGTAGGATTCACTTGAACCTAGTGTGATATTATAAGATAATATTCTCATTTTCCAAGAATTTATGTAGGATTCACTTGAACCTACTGTGATATTATAAGATTTCTCACTTTCTAAGAATTTATGTAGGATTCACTTGAACTTAGTGTGATATTATAAGATAATGTTCTCATAATGTTCTTATGTAGGATTCACTTGAACCTAGTGTGGTATTATAAGATAATGTTCTCATAATGTTCTTATGTAGGATTCATTTGAATCTAGTGTGATATTATAAGATAATATTCTCATTTTCCAAGAGTTTATGTATGATTCACTTGAACCTAGTGTGATATTATAAGATAATATTCTCACTTTCTAAGAGTTTATGTAGGATTCACTTGAACCTAGTGTGGTATTATAAGATAATATTCTGATTTTCCAAGAATTTATGTAGGATTCACTTGAACCTAGTGTGATATTATAAGATAATATTCTCACTTTCTAAGAGTTTATGTAGGATTCACTTGAACCTAGTGTGGTATTATAAGATAGTATTCTGATTTTCCAAGAGTTTATTTAGGATTCACTTGAACCTACTGTGATATTATAAGATCATATTCTCACTTTCTAAGAGTTTATGATGAGGATACCTTTCCTAAAACTGTATATTTAATGATGAAAACAGTGACTACAGACAAGAAAAAACAACAACCCTACAACCTAAAGACTTTTACCCTAATATCTTATTCACTTGCACTTTACATAAATATACATTAAGCAATGGTTATTAAAGAATTTTATGCTTAATTTATCATGGTGATATTAGATATGTGGTCATTAGAAAATTTTCACCGTAATCTTAGTAACGTAGACTATGATTTAAATGTTTTAGCCACATTATTGTTTTGTTTGTTTGAATTTATGCACAAAGCTCCACAATGGGTTATCTGTGCTCTGCCCACCACGGGTATCGATACCGGGTTTCTAGCGTTGTAAGTCCGCAGACATACCTCTGTGCCACTAGGGGGCGCCACATTATTACCTTCTAAGCTTCAGTGAAGAATATTCCTGTTATGGTGAAATATGTCTAGTTTTGAGATAAGGATTGTTTAATGAAATTCTTACATTTATTTGGCTCCAGGAGATTAATTTCTAGAAGGCTGGCCTAACTATATTGAGAACGTAATTAATTATCTATTTTTCTAGGCGAGAAAGCTGGAATGTTTGTTTCCAGTTCAATATTAGCAGTATTCATTGGAGCGACAGTTGCCTTGATCCTTTTGGTGTTGATCTTGATTGTCGTGGTGAAGATAAGAAAGAAGAGGATATTGAAAGGTACTTTGATGTTTCTTCCGAACAGTGTAACGATTTGGTAAATTGAAATTCCTTTATTATTTCAATAGCTTTTTTTTTTCTATAGATGTAATAAGATTATCTGCGAGCTTCTTGCTGTTGTGTTTTTTAAATGTACGTATCATCTTCGTTGCTTTTATTGTAAACTTAAACTTTTCATGATCCAAGTCAACAGAATAGAATACTAATTCTGCTCTTCTTATGATGCGAAATATTCTAATACACGTTTTGGTTATCAATATTTACTTAATTTGTTATTTAATTTCATGAAGTATTTTCCTCCGTATAATGAAACCACTCAATATATAACGAAAAGGAGAAACTCGTTTAATTTTGCTCATACTTCAATTATATTTTTTTCATTTCCATGTCAGTTCAGCAAGAGAATGATCCAGCGAACAAGTAAGTCTATTTTATCACTACCTTTAAAAAAGGTATTACTGATGTTTCTAATGTTTACTAATTTACGGGTTACTAATGTTTATTATTTACCACATACAGAGGTGTTTATTGTTAAGAAATGACTCATACACTGAAGTTAGTATAGAAATCAATCATATTTGTAAGTTCTAGTTGATAGACAATAGTTGTAGCCTATTAGAAACAACTTAACAAAGGTCTAGACTGGAGCCAGGTGTGGATTTTATATAACTTTATCTTCAAACATTTTTTTATTCATCATAAGTCGTACTTAACTATGTAGGCCCGGCATGGCGAGGTGGTTCGAATCCCCGTCTCACCAAACATGCTCGCCCTTTCAACTGTTGAAGCGTTATAATGTGTCGGCCAATCCCACTATTCGTTAGTAAAGAGCATCCCAAGAGTTGGCGGTGGGTGGTGTTGACTAGCTGTCTTCCGTCTAGTCTTACACTGCTAAATTAGGGACGGCTAGCGCACATAGCCCTCGTGTAGCTTTGCGCGAAATTCAAAACAAACAAACAAACAAAATTCAGAAATTACGTTGGTTTCTTTCTTTGTGTTGTTGAAAATCACGCAAAGCTACACAAGGGATATTCGATTTATCCATCAATAACTTAGAGACTAGTGGGAAGATTAGTTATAGATTAGTCTATAACTAGTTATAGACTAGTGGGAAGGTACTCACCGCCAGCTCTTGGGCTACTCTATTTGAAAAGTGAGATTGATCGCCACATATAACTCCACCACAGCTGAAACGGTGAGTACGATCGGCGATGGAATTCGAAATTGCCAGTGTTCTAACTATCAGCCCATACTAGGCCTCAGCCCATACTAGGCCGGGGGCAGTTATACTCACAACATCTATAGGAAGTTCACCGAGATATTTCAATCTGAAACATTTGTAAAATTATAACCATTTGTTGAGCTAGGATTAGCTTCACTGTTTAATATAGACATTCAGTAATTTACAAATTTGTTTGAACTTAAATTTTAATTCACAACTTTTCAAATATATCTGAACACTTAAGAGATTGGGCCTAACCAAACTTTACCTTTATGGTTGGTTGGAAATGTTTTTATTCCTAACTATGCATTTAAAACATTTCATAAAGAACAATGTTAATGAAAGGATTATTTATTCAAATGTTTGACAACAAATATGTCTATAATACATTTTGTTAACTGCCGTTAAAGCTGTAATATTGAACGTTTATAGGTGTTTAATACATTCTTAATTGTTAACGTATATAGTGTTTAAGATTAACCATTTCGAATCTAACTACATGTATGTATGTATATACTTCAGACCAATGTTTTCAATTAGCAAAAACAAATATCTATTGGTTGAAGACTGAAATTCTGAGTATGTAAATATATATGCATATTACTGTAGACCAGAGGCATCGCTCAAGAAAACCGTTAGTGACGTCACTGAAGGCCCGGATATAATACCAGCAAAAAACATGAGTATGGACATTTATTTAGGTTTGTGATAATAAGTGTTCTGTATCCTTAAAAGTGATTATAACGTATTGGATTATAAAAAGAGATTTGCATAACACTTTCATGGCTTACATGGAGCTTGAAAAGATAAGCAAATCATATATATATATATGCATATTAGTTAGCTGAAATTTTAAAATGTTTAAAAAGTCTAATTTAAATCAATGTTGCTCTTTTATTTTTGTTAATACATACTTGGTCATCTGTACTTTATCGTTTCTAAAATTACAATTTTTCTTTGCGCTTAAAACCCTGAATATAAACGAATAATTAATCTTCTCACTCTTCTAGTAAGCAATAAGCTTCCATAACAAGAATCTAACTAATATATATATTATTTTCTTCATGTATACTGATGTTTTTCATTAACTACTAACTGTTTTACTGTGGTTGAGCTGGATTTATGTAAACGTTCAAAAAATAACTTGTTTTCATTATACATTTCCAGCATGCTACGATAATGATCCAGACCAGAAGTTTTTCCAGTTCCATGCCACACCTTCTTCTACACGTAGCTATTCTACAGATGGAGAATTATTGGATATCACTCCTTCGTCAAGTAAAGGAACGATTTACATGCCAGAAATGTCATACAGGAGCCCCATACATAAGTCCGATATCAGATCGGGAAATCTGACCTCACCATATGCAAGTTTATGTTTTTTTCGTTTGTTTACTTAGTATTAAGAACAAAGCTACACAATGCTGTTTCTACCACGGGTATCGAAACCAGATATTTAACGTTATAAGTCCTCTTACTTGCTTCTGAGCTTCCGGCGGCCTAAGTTTATGTTTCTCTAGATTATTCCGCGGACATGAACTGTGCTAAAGAGGTTTAGAGGTCTTTCATTTATAAATTTATTTATTTTTTTTACCCACACTACTTATCAAAGTTAACACGTCCCCCGGTAGGACAGCGGTAAGTTTACGGTCTTACAAAGCTAGAATCCGGGGTTCAATTACCCGCGGCGGACACAACAGATAGCCCAACGTGACTTTGCTCTAAGACAGACAGACAAAGTTAACACAATAACTGAACCATCTCCATACCTAGATATACCGAGGTACATTTTGACCCGTACTGTGTACTTCTTTGCTATGGTTGCCAATTGTTATATTAAAATAAAGTTATTATATCTGATATTATATTTTTTTACTATTGACATTAATACATTGTTTTACTATTGACATTAATACATTGCCCCTTCTAAAAAATGAATTATAAAAGTGAAGAAAGCTGTATAGAAATAAACGTTTTTCCTGTTGTCTTAGAATAAATCAATATTGAGCTATCTGCTGTACCTACCACCGAAGAATCGAACCCCGAATTTTAGCATTTTAAGTTCGTAAACTTACCGCTGAAAATAAAAGAGAAAATACCTTTATTCAAAACATGCATATTTACTAAATCATTGTTTAGTTAATTTGTTTACATTCAACTATAAGTATAATTTGGTATAACGAAAATATCAAGTCAATACATCAGGTCATCATCAGAAGGTCGAAACGTTGTTACTTGTTTTGTGTTTTTAAATAAAAGTTTTTAATATCCATATAAGCCGTCTCTACTACATATATATTGTCTTCAAGTGCGTATATATGTAGTAGAGACGGCTTATATTCAAAATGTGCGACTCTTGATTGAGTCGAATCATTCCTATATCCTAAGTGATACATCATTTTCCTGATGACGAGGAATTGTCTTCAAGTGGGTTCCTCGTCATCAGGAAAATGATGTATCACTTAGGATATAGGAATGATTCGACTCAATCAAGAGTCGAACATTTTGAATATAAGCCGTATCTACTACATATATATTGTCTTCAAGTGGGTTCCTCGTCATCAGGAAAATGATGTATCACTTAGGATATAGGAATGATTCGACTCAATCAAGAGTCGCACATTTTGAGTATAGGACGTTTCAACTCCTATTATCCAAGTGAAACACAGACAGACTTGTACACCAAATACAAGTGTTTATTGATTTATTGACATTGCACATTTGGACTTCAAACTTCTTCATTTTGTTTGTTGATATCTTAATATTTTTCAGCTTTCTGTTTAATGAGCTCAGGTTCAAGGTTCAGTGAAAACTTTAGGTGAATAATTATCCTTCTTGCAACTGCCTTTTATTGAACCCAGACATCAGATACCAGGCATGTCTAGAATACTGCAAGAGATGTAGACTGGCCAGCACCAACATCCATATTTGACCGAATAGAGTCGTATTATCTCACCAAGAGTGTCTTCACCATAATTTATATTATTGTAGACAGGCATTATCTCTGGTTTCGTCTTGCCATCAGGTAGTACGTCTACATCCTCGTGTGTAGAACAGGCTTCGTCTTGCCATCAGGTTGTATGTCTACATCCTCGTGTGTAGAACTGGTTTAATCTTGCCATCAGTTAGTATGTCTACATCCTCGTGTATAGAACTGGTTTCGTCTTGCCATCAGGTAGTATGTCTACATCCTCGTGTGTAGAACTGGTTTCGTCTTGCCATCAGTTAGTATGTCTACATCCTCATGTGTAAAACTAGTTTCGTCTTGCCATTAAGTGGTATGTCTAGATCCTCGTGTGTAGAACTGGTTTCGTCTTGCCATCAGTTAGTACGTCTACATCCTCGTGTATAGAACTGGTTTCGTCTTGCCATCAGGTAGTATGTCTACATCATCGTGTGTAGAATTGGTTTCGTCTTGCCATCACTTAGTATGTCTACATCCTCGTGTATAGAACTGGTTTCGTCCTCCATCAGGTAGTATGTCTACATCCTCGTGTGTAGAACTGGTTTCGTCTTGCCATCAGTTAGTATGTCTACATCCTCATGTGTAAAACTAGTTTCGTCTTGCCATTAGGTGATATGTCTAGATCCTCGTTTGTAGAACTGGTTTCGTCTTGCCATCAGTTAGTATGTCTACATCCTCGTGTATAGAACTGGTTTCGTCCTCCATCAGGTAGTATGTCTACATCCTTGTATGTAGAACTGGTTTCGTCTTGCCATCAGTTAGTATGTCTACATCCTCTTGTGTAAAACTAGTTTCGCTTTGATATCAGGTTGAATGTCTACATCCTCATATATACAGCCAGTTTCGCCTTGCCATCAGTTAGTATGTCTACATCTTCGTGTGTAGAGCTGGCTTCGCCTTGCCATTAGGTTCGATGTCTAAATCCGCATGTGTAGAGCTGGTTTCGCCTTCCATCAGGTTAGATGTGATGTCTACATCCTCGTGTGTAGAGCTGGTTTCGCCTTGCCATCAGGTTGGATGTCTACATCCTCATCTGTAGAGCTAAGAAATGACATACCATTACTTGGTTCAGTTTTGTAGACAGACAGTTTGCATCTAGAACTCTTGCCCTTGACACTAGGTATTTCATGCATTTCTCTGTTCGATGAAAAGCTATGAACGCTCTGAGGTAGCTTTCTTCTGTTTACACATATCATGCCAACTAAATTTGTGGTCTTTGATTTCAGTTCTCCTACTGAGCTCAGAGAAGTAAAGAAATTTTCTCAAGTAAAATTGAGAATACGTCTTAAATATGGCTCTATCAAAGTCAACACGTGTTAATCTGTTAGCAAGAATTTTCCTTTCTAGTACAGAGAAATACATTAAGTGTACACGTGGTTTCTACAAGTTGTTAGATTTTTTGTCATGTAATGGAGAAAGAAGTCCGCACTTGCTTGTCAGTGGCTCTTCATCAGCAGTAAGGTTTTCTGAAGATAGGAACCTGACACTTATGAGAAAATGTGTCCCACAGCTCTGGAACCAAAGCAAACTTGTCGGTTTCAAGTCTAGCACTTCTGGTGACACTTAAGTTAAAGCAAATAAAGTTCAGGATATCTATGAAGGGATTACGGCTCATACGCTTTGGAAAGGCTGAAACTTCATATTTCCTGAACACATATGCACAATAAGGGGGCACCTCTCCCTCTACAATGTGCCCCACGAATACTCCAAGTTCATTAAAGAATAGTCACTACTCGTATATCTCGATACACTTTTCAATAAGATGAAGCAATGTTTTACTCATAAGCAATTTGAATGCTAATATAATCGAGTTCTCAAAAACAAAATCTGTGGCAAATGGAGTTGGTCCAGATCTATACTTCTGTACATCCTGTACGATAGCATCCACACTGTGCCATATGAACAAGTGTTTCAGTATCTACATGTGTATTAGCAGCTGTTTCAGTATCACCATGTGTATTAGCAGCTGTTTCAGTATCTCCATGAGTATGACCAGCTGTTTCAGTATCTACATGTGTATTAGCAGCTGTTTCAGTATCACCTTGTGTATAAGCAGCTGTTTCAGTATCTCCATGTGTATGACCAGCTGTTTCAGTATCTCCATGTGTATGACCAGCTGCTTCAGTATCTCCATGTGTATCAGCAGCTGTTTCAGTATCACCTTGTGTATGAGCAGCTGTTTCAGTATCACCTTGTGTATGAGCAGATGTTTCAGTATCTCCGTGTTATTCTGAACCACTGTCATCTAAAGCCATGTTTTGGGTGTTTTTAAGCACTTTCTAAACTTGTCCTGCACTAAGACCTATTATTTAACAGCCATAAGCACTGTGAAAAAATAAACAGTAAGTATATACAAAGCTGAAAATACTATGGGAGGGCAAAAATCACCCCTTGGTTATCCTAAGTAGGCATAAATGGTACTTTAAAAAATACAGAAAAAGAGCATTGGCTCTAAACTCATGTCGGAATGTTTAAGAAAAAATGTCATAGTTTTGTAGACGTCATGAATAAAAAATGTTTTAAACGGGGGAAAAGTCACTTCTCTTTTGTTCTGGTGTAAATGTACAACCTCAAGATATTCGTGATATTTATATAAGTATGTTTGTTAGCTAAAATGTTTTACTGAAATCGACAACTTTGCTGTTAATAGCTTATGCTATTATCCATGGTGATGAATCAGATGACATAGAACTTAGCTTTTATTGAGTTTGGTATCTACACATGTTTCTAATTGACAATAATGGTGTATGGAGAGTTACATTATTATCTTAATCCAAAGAAATGTTTAATATATGTTAAAATTGATCTATCTGAAGTTTTATAGGTCAACGCAAGATGCGTTGGAGTCGATTGGATCGAACTTACGTGACCACTCTAAGCAGCATATTACGTGTACAAATCGCTTCTAGTAATACTGTTTGCTGTTAGCTTTAGAGACAGTGTGTGTATTATTAGCAATAGACAGATATGAACAGCAGTTTATTATAGTATTCAACTCTTCGAAATAGGTTAGGTTTCGCATTCGTATTGAAAACGAATAGCACAATTTAAGTCTATCATCGAACACTCCAAGTGTAATATGATTTATAACTGATTATGGTTTGGATAAATGAGTGAAAAATGAAAGAAAATCTAAAAACTATCAACTTTCATTTTTGCACTTACCTGAAAAAATATGATGCGTGGTTCCTCTTGTTATACAATACTTTCTTGTTTATCACCCACTACAGGCCCCTTTTCCTGTCCCGTGCCCAACACTGGAATTTCCTGTTTACTGTACTCTGGGTTTAGGTCTTCTTTTAAAGAATGGTGTGTTGTCTCAGGAAATGAAGTGATTTTTTGTCTTTTGTCTTGAGGCTTTAAACACAAGGACAGAATATAAGGTTGTCAGTTACCCAATAGTTAAAGAAAATTGCATAAGGCACCAACTTATCC